ACTGTCCAATATATACTTATTTGGAAATAATTATTTGTACTTGGGAGTCGCTGTCAGATGCCTCTCTCTGTGTCTCCTCCCTGCTTCAATCTGATATGCTTTTGACAGCTCTGGGGAAGAAAAATGAACAATCCCGGAAATACAGGAAAAACATGAAAGAGTGACCCGAGAATACCACTTTTAATGGATTTTGCATGTACAGTGAGGTTTGTGGAACTGAGGCATTATCTTCACTGATTCTTCACGCAGGCTTCACCAAGTTACAATAAGTTGTTTTTTTTTTATTTTGTTGTGGATCTGCAATGTCACTGTAAATATTAATGGTTTTCTCCAAAACTCCAGAGACAAATGAAGATGAGTAAAGAGAGAAGAGGCTGGGGGGGTGACACAGGTATACAGGTATATGGGTCAAACACAATTAACCAACGGGTGAACAAGAGGATAGTAGCAAACAGAACATCTGGCTGGGACCCAGAACTGTGGGAGAATTTTCATACATTCATAAAGTCACTTTCGGCTTTTCCCGTTTTAGGGGTCACCACAGCAAATTGTCACAGCGAGAGCGCTGCGCCTTAACCACAATTTTCATACATTGATACCATGGTGAAATGTTAGTCAACAGCAATAAAACTTAAGAGGAGCAATGAGTCACTGTGCTCATGATGAGAAAATGAGAAGTTTGTTTCAAATTACTGAGCAGTTCAAATTGGAGTTTGCACCAATTTGAACAGATTTACAATTTGATACATTTCATTATGTGGACTTTTTCTTTTTATTTATTTATTTTTCTTAAAAATTGTTTGCCCTAACTTCTTCAATTGTGAATCGGTAGCTTTGAAAGTTATTTGTGTGCAATAAATACATCTTCTTAATACTAATTACCAACCAAAAATCTTGTGTTGCATGAAAAATAAATAACCAAAATCTTTTGCACATGCACACAAAACCTCTATCATCCTGTTGCCACCATGCTTGAAAGATTTTCTGGGGGAAACACTGAAGTGAGTATGAAGCACTGTTTGTTTACCAGAGATGTCACAAAGGTAACGACTGACCACAATCCTGATTGCTTTTCTAGGGCTAGAAGTGTCCAGCGGTACACTTTTAATTGTCTTGAAGTGTTATCTGAAATCTAAGATAGAGGAGACCAAAGACGACAAACACAAACAAAGGAAGTTTATAAGATTTAAGAGGCTCAGGGTATAAAGTCTGTTTAGAGTTAGTTCAGTGGTGCATACAGTGAGTAAGTGTGTCTATGAGTGTGTGTTTTTGATAGTGTATGTTTACATTTCAGGCATGCTATTAATGATTAATGATCTTATTTGGAAGGGCTGGGAGTTTACTCGTTTGTCCATGTTCAGTGAGATGTGTGGCTGCTGCTACAATGATCCAGTTTGTGACCTTGTTCGACAGCCATTCTGCTTATTCAAAAATAAATGAACATTTTATCTGGACAATTGCTGCAGACAAACTAGACTTCTGCCTTCAACCACATAAAACAGAACTAGTAGAACTAGAAAATGTGTGGGGATTCATAAAAATCAGATCACTGGAGATAACTAAGATAACTGCCAATTAAATCTGTCACATAAGGTAATTCTCACCATATATGGCTGGTAGACATTTAAAGCAGCAACTTTTGCTAAACAATGTCAATTATGACATAGTCTCACTTTAATGTGAAGCATCTACAGGAAGTGACTTAATCTTCCTGCCTCAATTAATAGCAGCCTAACGCTGAAAGAAAGAATGGCAAAGTAGAAATGATTAGAAGTACTTTTTTATAACAAGAAAATCAGTGTTGAGTATTTTACAACTAAAAATCACTATAGAAATAACCATTATTCTTTAATTATCACATCAGTTTCCACAAAGTCAGTTTGTCTCAAGCAAAGACTTAGTTCATGAAGCTAAAGTAAAGCCTTATCTGTAAATGTCAAGTGTATTTTCAGCACAAGGCCTTGTTTTTTTCCACTCTAAATATAACATTTTAATCTGTAAATGAGAAACATGGGCTCTAAAAGAGTGAATATGGTGGAACTGCAGCTCATAAAATGCAGAATGTATGGGGTAATCAAATATTTATATGGCATCATAAGATCGTACAAGCCCTGTTCAAATAGGGTTAGATCCACAAATACTGTACATTTTCAATGACAAGTAATCTACAGAGCTCGTGTAAAGCTTTAAAAACTCGTCAACTAAAGCAATCTCTCACCGTGGCTGTAGCTGACCCCCGGGCTGAGGGCTGAAGGGGTGGCGACATGCTCCCTGCTGGGCGTTTGGAGGCCAGCCTCCTTCTCCCTCTCCTTGTCTCGCTCTTTCACCTGGCGCTGGCTCATCCTGCCTGGGGTCAGAAGGATGGTGTCATTGCCGCACACTACAGCAGCTGTGGACAGAGAGAGGGAGGCAGGGGAATGACAAGGAGATAGCGGCGGTCAAAGAAGGAGATGAGAAATGAACTTGAGAGCACAGTACAACACAGATAAGCACTATTGTGAAGCAACTGCTAGGTGCAGCCTCATGTTTCATTACATTTTAACAAATAATATTTGCTTTCATCCATGCCTTATGATTGGAATAGAGGTGTTCATGAGTGCTGATAACCTCAGTGTGTGCTTCAACCGTATCACTCCACCTTGTTTACCTGGTGCTAAGGAAGCAAGCAGGCATGTTACCTCATAGCAATGGAAGCTGTGTTTGTCTGGCAGAAAATCAGACAGAGGATCAAATAAATGTATAAAAGCAAAAGTTTTATCTGTGTTTTCAGACACACTCATTTTGTTACACAGTAGCTTTTAATGGCACTTCATATAAAACAGGTCAGATTTACATATAAAAACACCAATATTAAACTGAGAGGAGATGTGGAAATTAGGGCTGTCAAAGATAACAAGATGATAATACCGAGTTAACGCAAATTCCTTTTAATGCCACAAATTTTTTGAAGCTCGATTAACACAGGCACATTCTGTGACTATGACCCTCAGACCGCCCTGTAGTTTGAGAAATCAGGAAACGATGCAGCAGCATAAATTATCTGAAACTGATAAAGAAAAGGGCCTTTTGAATGGCAAGTTCAGCTTCAATGCCCTGCCAGATGGTTCTCTTGGCAAGAGAGTTATTTTCATTTACTGTCGATGTGAACTGAGTTACCATGGGAGTACGTCGAGTCTCAAATACCACTTGCTGGCCAAGCACACAGCTGATCCCACTTGCCAAAAGGCAGTCTATCCTGGATAGTTTGCAACAAAGACACCTGGACAGCTCTACAAGCAGCAAATTTTCAAAAGCAATAGCTAAATCTGTGGCCACAGCTTGCAGGCCAATTAATATTGTGGCGGATGAGGGCCTGGTTGGAACAATATGGATCGCATCCAGAGACTGCATGTATGACTTGCCTTCGAGAGTCACCACTGTAACCAAGATAAATAACTCGTATGAAGATGAGAAAGCTAAAGTGGAGGAGGTGTTGGGGCAGACAAACACAATTACGCTCATCGGAGACTACTAGACTTCTCTCAGTTAATTACGGTTACCTGGGGGTCCCTTTAAGGTACATTTATAACCAGTGGTGGAAGAAGTACCCAAATCATTTACTTAAGTAAAAGTAGCAATACAACTGTGTAAAAATACTGTTACAAGTAAAAGTCCTCCATTCAAAATGTTACTTATGTAAAGTACAAAACTATTAGCAGACGATTTTTTTCTGTGCAGTTCTTTAAAATGTATTTACAAATTGTTGGATATGCATGCTAAAACTTACATGTTCAGCTTGTTCCACTTTACTATTATTACCATGTAGTGCTATATCAGAGGAAATAATAGAAATGTTTGGCATACATAGTAGGCTACTGCTGTTTTAATATCTGGATGGATTTTACCTGAAAGGCTCTTTTATTTCTGATTAAAATACATAAAACCAATCAAGGGGTGATGAGGAATTTTATCTCACGGGAAAAAAGCCTGACAAGTAAAATGAAGGTATGTGGTAACAGCACTGCTATGTCAGTAACCTACTAAATAAAGTTCAAGCTAATGTTGGTAGCTAGGAGGTCACTAGGCTAGTAGCACTATTACCACATACAATAAGCTACCCTAAGGTGAGCAGAGGACCTATAACTTGTGGGGTGGCATCAACATAAATATTGATCATGAAATTATATTCATTATACAATACAGGCATGTTCTGATTTAAATGAAAATAAAGCCACAACATCGGAATGTTTCACGTTATAATACTACATACTTATTTAAAGTGCAATCAGGAGGTGACAAGCAATTTTATCTCTGGAAAAAAGCCAGAAAAGTCTGTCATTAAACACACCATATGTTTATGAATATGTGAGTGAGAAAATCTCAAAACCTCGCAAGTGAGTGTAACGTGATTAGTGTATGTCAGACGATCTGTACATGTGCATCTAATGATCAATGAATACATTTTAAAGAACTGCACAGAGAAAATCGTTTTTACACATTTGTAAATCTTGATTTTATTTGTAGACTACTGAACAAACAAATGTAGTTATGAGACAGAAACAGTTCTTACGCATTTGTAAATCTGGATTTTAACTGTAGATCAGCAAACACATTTGTGGCCTTCATGACACACAAATCAGATTTTACACATTTGTCATCTTGACTGTATTTGTAAATCTCCAAATCCTCATTTGTGGTAAAAGTTATCCCCATATATCTGGAGGTAATACTTTCTGAAGAATAATTTTTATTCATTTCAAAATTTCAATAAACTGTGCAATTTTAATCATCCACAAGGATGCATCTTCAAGTTACATACTAGTTAAATAGGTCAAAAATCACAAACACCAGTGAGAACTCAGGTAGTAAAACACTTAAGAGAAGATACCAGGTGATTTTTTGGGAGGCAGCAGTGCTATAAACAGACAACCTACACAACCTGAAAAACTACAGTTAATGCTTTATTAATGAGCAGACCTTTGGTCAAAAAATAAAAACACACATTTAAAAGAAAATTTGTCAGAGGAACTTGTTAAAAGGGTTACACACTTAGCATTTTTCCCTCGTGGAAACAAACACACACCCTCAGGTTCAGTCTGTCCCTAAATACCATCCTGACTGTTTACACTGACCTTAGCCCTTCCTATAAAAGGCTGCTGGCTTACCGGAGGTGGTATGGTGCTCTCTCAACTCTGCATGGTGCTAGTAGTGACGAAAAAAGTGGATCCAGGAATGTAAAAATACAAAAGGAAGGGGGAAAGTAATAGTAAGGGAAACAAAAAAGGATGGACAGCAGGAGGGAGAGAAAATGTGTGTCAGAGATTTAGGATAAAGATTAAAGTAGGGGAAGGGAAGAGGAGCATCCGCCATGTGTTGTTGACCAGATGTTGGCAGTGGTAGGTTTGCGTACAGCAGGGTTGACGATAGTGGGCAGTAGCATCAACAGCAGCAGCAGCGGGTGAAGACGCAGCCACACAGGATGACAACAAATGATGCAAAAAAATAAAAAAGAGACAGACAAAACAAAAGAAAAACAGATATTAGTTAAACCAAAATGTTAATGAGGAGAACTTGACACAAAACTAACAACTAACCGGGGCAGTGGGAGGTAATGAAGACAAAACTTGGTGATACAAGAGGAATGAATAAACTGACACATAATATGTGCTAGTTTATCTGTAATGCCCTAGAGTGAATCCTTTCAACTAACATGACAATTTAATACTGTTAATCTAAAGTTGAGGTATGCCATCAGAATAATTCTAAACATTTTCAGTGTTTCATTTAGTGCTGCAACTAACAATTACTTTCATTGTCATCTGAACAAGAACTGATTGAGGAAAAATTAACAAAAATGTCATTATAATTTTCCAAGAATATACCTTCAAATAGATTCTTCTATCCAAGCAACTGTCCAAAACCTGTAGTTTACAAACAGTTAATCATGCATTAAGTTTACAGCCATGTCCGATGAGCAGCTCTGTGAGGTTGTACTTACCATAGGTACAGTGCTGCTTTTAACTAAATGCTAACATCAGTAATGCTAACATACTCACAATGACGATGTTAAAATGTAATGTTGATCAGTTTTATCATCTTAGTTTTATTAAGACGTTTTAGTCAGGACCAAAACAGCCGTGCTATTCCTAGAGCCACTCGCATGGCTAGAACCTCAAAAGTTAAAAATTATAGGTTGTTAAAATTAGTGTGATTTGTAACAGGGGACTGCTAAATCTTAAAATATTGAAACAATATACTTTTTGTTATTAGCTATGTGTTAGTTTTTAGTACAGTATGTAGCTTGTATTTTGTTATTTTCTATAGTATTTACAGTAGATGGTTCATTATTGTGAGTGTGATATTGTGACTATAAATTTCATTGTAAAGTTTTTGTCTAATGAAAGATGTGTTGGCTGTATGCCACCTAACTAATTAAATTCAGTCCAATTCACAGAGCAGCTACACACACACACACACACACACACACACACACACACACACACACACACACACTGCTTCCTTCACCTTTTCCTGTGCACAGCAGAGAGAGAAAACACTTGACAGCTGGCCACAAACAAAATCAACATGTTCTAATTAAGGGTGCTCACCATGGCTATCCTCTCTCCTGCAAACAATACACCAGCAGGAGTCTGCCAACAACCACACTGGTTCTGTTCGGTCAGCTCAACAACCATCTCTTAAACATGAATTTGACTCTCAAAAGGTTTACATGGAACTGCCCACATAATAAAATCCTAATTAACACAGTTTGGTTGTTTGTACGGCTATAGCACATAGCATGGACAACTGATGTCACACATCCTCGGAACAAGGCACGATCCCATAATCCCCGCTCAATTAAAATACACCCATGAACAGCTCAGTAAGCGTACAGGCAAAGAAAACAATGTCACTGGCTGGATATTGCTTAGTTAATCACGAAGAGGAGATAAAATGATTGTGACTGGTCAGAACCCTTAAGAGCCAAGGGCTGAGAGGACACACACCACTACCTACAACCGTGAGGGGAACAAGTTAGTAAAAGGTTGATTAACAAGGCTTTGATGAGAGGCATCAACAGAGTGGTTTTCTAATTTAATCTTGGCTGAGATCATTGTTTCGCAGTGGGAAAATGCAGCTACACATTGGCTACTCTGTTCGGGTTGCAAAACGCTGACCTGCAATCAGAGAGCGCATACACCTTCGCCAAGGCACAACATTCGCTCATGCAAATTGGTGTTGATAACCCCAAAACAAGTAATCTTCCTTCAGTCATATTCTCTTTTTGGTTCAATAATAGATTAACTCCAGCCAGCTTCCTTGACTGACAGACTGAAGTATGTCAGGTTGGATGCTCTTTGGAAAAGCCTTGCTTGATGATTAGTGATAATTACTTATGCAGATGAGTGTGTGGGGTGGAAAGGAAACTGACAGAGGGACAAATAGAAGGCCTATGAATAATCTCAGTGTTGATATCAAAAGTAGGACTTGTGAGAAACAGCCTGAGAAGAGTTCCACTGGTACAATGTAATGACAGCACAGTTGGAGCGCTAAATGTGGCAAGCTTATATTAGCTTGTGAAAAGCATTTTTGACAATCAAGCAATGGAGGTTCGAGTGTAGAGGGTGGAGGGGTAGATCTACAGAAAATGCACAACAGACCAATCTAAGGAGTCCTACAAACTGGCTTCAGTATGACTCATTACAGTACTTATAGGCAGGTGTGGGAAAACTCCAGTTTATTTTCTGTTTGACACAACATGTTTCATTTTTGTCTCTGGTTACTAACAAAAAAAACCCACAGACTCGTTACATATTAATAATTGTAAAGTTTTACATTGCCTTGGACTGCAGATATTTTACACTGAATATCATCTGTTAAGACCGTCCTTTTAAAAGGCCTTTGTGCTGCCTGGTAAAATAGAGCAGCCATAACACACATGCACGCACACAGACACCAGAGCTGATTACAGATGCTGGGAAAGCATCAGCTGACAGTCATGTTTGTTTTAACAAAATGTCAGATGGAATTCCATTCCCATAAATCTACAGTAGCCCCACCAATACTGGATTTTTGAGGCTGATACTAAGATTGGGCTCTTGGTAAACTCACAACTGAGTAGGAAGACAAATCATAATAATATAACCTATGGGGCCTCAAAATGCTCTTGAAGACTTCTAAAAACCATTTATTGGGAATAATTTTTTTCACATTTCAGAGTCAATGATAATTATAAAAATGAAACTAACTGTAGTAAACTAAATTATGCAGACAGACAAGTGATACAATCCTGCTGCCAAATAAAGGAAGACTTCCATGCCAAGGGGTGGAAGTACGGTTGCGCTGTACAATAAAACCAATTTAATCAAGCACCTCCAAACGCATAAACTTCCAACAGACAACCCAAAGGATGATGGGATTACAGAGGAGTTGGTCGACTTCATTATAATAAAGCTGTTCACCCAGGAGCAATACTCATAAAACCTGTGTGGTAAATATTTCAGGTTCTGTCTGAAGCAGAGATGAAGCAAAAGCGGGGAGAAGAGTAATGGTGCAAAACCATCAGTTTTTCCTTTTTATATTTTCAGAGAAGCTGGTTTGTGGACCATTTGAGGCATACATACAAATAGCAACTTTGCCTCTAATATACAGTAGCTTCACAAAGTGTTCAAACCCCTCTACCTCTTGCATTACATTGTGTTATTGTGTAATTGGATTTTAAATTGATAATCCTGTCATTTTGCCCATCAATCTACACTCAATGATATATAAGGACAAAGTAAAAGCTGTTATTTTAGAACTTTCTGTAAATGTCACAGCCCCTGTGGCATCAAATACATCTGCCAGTCTTCTTGGGTAAGTCTCTACAAGTTCTGCACACCTGGATTTGTGCCGTTTATCCCTCTCAAGCTCTGTGAGATTGAATGGGAAGTGTCTGTGAAGTGCCACCTTCAGGTGTCTCCACAGATATTCTGTGGGGTTTCAGTCTGGGTTTTGGCTGGGCCACTCAAAGACATTTAGAGACTTGTCCTGAAGCCACTCCAGTGTTGTCACGTGCTGTATACATTAGGTCATTCTCATGCTGAAAGGTGAACTGTCACTCCAGTCTCATGTCACTGCACTCTGAACCAGGTTTCTTCCAGGATCTCTCTGTATTTGGCTTGGTTTTTGTCTTTTGGTGTGTGCCCTTCTAAATTATGTTCTAGACACATCTCAAGGAAAATTAAAATAAACAAGATGCCCCTGACCACAGTGTGTAGCGGCACAGCAAAGGGCCTGAAAACTTTTGTAAACGAAAAAGAAAATTAAAAGTACAGATTGAATGTAGACGAAAGATGGAAATATTATCCATATTATCATTTGTCCCCACAGACAACAAGCCGACACAGACGGAGCCATTTTAAACGTCTACTGCCAACATAATGAAGGGTCAACAACGAGTACCCCCCCATCTGGGGTTCATACATTTGATACAGGCACTGTAAAAGGGGGCTAGGGGATACTTGTAGGGAGTAGTTAGCGAACAACTAACAATCACACACACACACACACAAAAACTATTACAAGTCTAACAGTAACAAATTACCCTCATCTCCAAAGCTCTAGAAAGCTCTGGAAAAAAACAGCCTTAATACACAGCACAATCTCTCTGTCCCTGAGAAGATGAAGACTGCTTATGCAGAATAAAATGTTGTGCTATATTACATAATGTTCAAACATCACTCCCAGCATATTTCTGACCCAGTTTCTTTTTAGTAGCAGGGAATGAATGCATAACAAAACAGCCTTTTTTATCCCTTTCCCTTATCTAAAGAGCGCCTTGCCATTGTGTTAGCTTGAAATCAAAACACTATATTATAAAGCAGGGGTTTTCAACTAGTGTCCCAGGGATACCATTCTGACTAAGAAGTAACCTGAGCAGTTTCCTGTTTACAGGGGGTCGTGACTGTAGTTCAGTGGGTAGAGCGGTCGTCTCCAAACCAGAGGGTTGGCAGTTCAAATCACAGTGCCTGCAGTCCACATGGCGAAGTGTCCTTGAGCAAGACACTGAACCCCCAAGCTGCCCCCGATGGTTAGAGCCATCAGTGTGAGGTGGTGCCACAGATGGCTTCCTCGGTTCTGTACCGGAAACAAATTCCTTGTGTGTGCCTGTTTGTCAACTACAGCCAGGTCTCCACCTCTCAACCTCATCTCTCTGAACT